TAGACAACTTGCCCCCCAGACCCGATTTGGAAAAATGACGGGTTGGATTTTGACTTGCAAAATTGGAGGGAAGTAAATGATGATAATTTGAACTTAGATAAGTTGAGGGGTTATTGACGCTAATAACTGCTTAATCATGGAGTAATGGGGAAGTGGAGAGGATTTAGCAGGTAATTAATTGAGAGAGGGATATGAACAACCAGTAATTAACGTGGGATTAGTAGGGTTTTTAGTGGCGTTAACTCCCAAAATCATGTTCTGGAAGATACTTAAGCCACTCGCACCACAATCCTTTCTCACTTCAATCGTTTTCGCGCATGCAAACCCAATTTCTCTCTAAATCTTTCCTTTAACCCGAATTAATTTCCCAATTATTCCAAGCAATCCAAGGCTTTAAAGTGAAATTCGTGCCCCGAACTTAGTGATCGGCGCATTCCGCACTGATAAAGGTAATTTTCTTTGAAATTTCTTCGGTTTTCTCTGCTTTTTGAACACCCTTCTCTTTTCGCTTTCTCGAACTTCCATCGATTAAAAATGTCCGGTGACCGGGGAAAAAGGCCAGCTGAGTCTGAATCGAGTGCCGGGAAAGAAGAGGAAGAGGTGCCGCAGCTGATTCCCAGGCGCAATCGACCTTTGGCGATGATGCCTTTCCTCAGCGACCAGAACCCTAACGCTAGGACTAGGCCTACTGCTATACCGAGGGGAGTTGCGTTAAGGGTTGTGCCCCTCACTAGCGTACCTCCAGGCAATGTTGAAGAGGCCAGTACTTCGATCTGGCCGAAGGGAGACTTCGGTGTCTAGGTCGTTGACTCCCAAAGAAAGGGAGTGGACTGATGTCCGAGAGAATGAGGGCCTTATGACTACGGCGCCTTACTCATGGTGGATCGAGAATGACGCCAAGTACTGCTTCGCCGAACAACTTGAGATTTTCGAAGAAATAATGGAGGAGGATGGTTATTGGTGCTGAATGCCTTATGCCGATGAGAGAATCCATCGTCCTCCGCCCGGATATATCGGGGTTTATACTCGGCAGCTGCAATGTGGGCTTCGATTTCCCGTCCATCCCTTTGTTGTGAAGTTGCTGAATGGATACAACATTTCACTGGTCTAGCTGACACCCGTGAGCATCCGACGAATAATGACTTGTCTATGGGTCAGCTTTACGGGCTGGAGCCGAGTGTTCACTATTTCCGCTTCACACACAAGTTGATGCCAAAAACCTAGTCCAATAAGTGGTATGGACCTGGCTGGTGGCAGATTCAGGACGAGAGAGGGTCTCTTTCATCTTATCCGAACGATACTTCAGACAAGGATTGGAGAGGGCAATGGATCTAGATCAGAGCGCCTTCAGACGAAGATCATTAGAATTACTTCGGCGGTCCTCGATATTTAAGGAAGCCAAACCCTAAAATGCACAGCATCGGTCCTGATGAGTTCACCGATGCTGATCATAAGCAGATGAAATTATTTGGCCGAAGTCATATGCCTGGGGCCACTGGCCGAATGGCGAATGTGCCAACCATCTGGCTGCCTTCCTGCCATTATATCTTCCAAAAGAAGATTCTTGCTGTTGTCGGCCTCAGCCGAAGATACCAAGGCGGTAAGGGATTCGGCTAGGGCCGAAACTTTTTATTCTTCATTGCTTTCTGATTTCTAACGCTTAACTCTTTCAGCCAAGCTAATTTTTGCTTTCTTAACTTTTTCAGAGCTGTGCGAAGAAAATTCGGGTACTGATTACGAAGTGCTCGGGATCAGCCTAGAGAGGAATCCGATCACAAATACCCGAAGATAACTGATTCGAAGGATCGGACCCTTTTTCTGCACCCAAGAAGGCTTCAAATAGTCAGCGCCTTTAAGTACCAGAGGCAGAAGCCCTGGTTCAAGAAGATTGAACCTTTCTTCCTTCACTCTGCTGAAGAAGACGCCGCTGCTATTATCGCCACCGCGGTCTCTCGAAGCAGAGCCGAGCCTTCTACCTCAACTGCTGGGCCGAGGGAAGAAGGTGCCGTAGAGAAAGAGGATTCTAAAGACGAGTGTCTACTGGAGACTTCGGTGAGTTTTTAATGCTCTTTCAATTTGTGAAAATTGTCTAAGTACTAAGCTTCAGCTATTCCTTCTGCTGAAGTCTGACGAAGGAGAAGGGAATAAAGGAGATCTAGCAGAAGCATATCCTGCTCTTGAATACTCTTCAGACGAAGGGATGGCGGGCCAGAGAAGAAAGAGACAACTTGTCCCGCCTAGACAATTTCGGGCCCCGCCTCTTCCGGAGAAAAGGCCTCGGCTTGAGGAGGAAAGGCCGGAAAAGCAAAAGGAGATGACTCCTCATCCTCTAGAAATCCCTACCGAGGAGGTTACTTTGTTGAAAACCCCTCCTTCAGCCCTTGGCCATGTGGTTGAAGCTTTCTCCGAGGAAGTTCGGAGGGAATTCGATGTGTTGTTCATCAATGTTGAAGACGAAGCGCAAGCTTTGAGCGGGGAGGGTCCGAAGGAGGCCGAGGTTGAAAAGGAAGCTGAAGAAGCAAAAAATACTGAAGTACCCTATACCTCGGCTGCTGGCTCCTTTAAGACTTTCCAGTCTACTGAAATGGGGTTCGGCTCTGCCCCCCTGGTGCCTGTTCTTGAGCATGCTCTGAACCTTTTTGAATCTAAGCGCGACTCGGTGAACGAGTACTTCGACGATCTCTCTAGTATGCCGGAGTTAGACAGAGCCCGAGCTTGGACTGTAGGTGCGGCATCCGGGGTGTCTTAGCCACTTGATTAAGTGTCGGACCCGTTCCTGGAGAACCAAAGGCTGCTGATGCAGGTGAACTCTTTGCACTTAAGTTTCTTTAAGCCTTTCTTTCACTTTTGCACTAAGCTTTTGATTTTTTGCAAAAATCCTCTAAGTACTGAACTTCAGCTAAGTCGTTCATAACCACTTTCTGGCTGTGGAAATGAACGATGAACTAAAAGCAAAGGCTGATAAGGCCGAAGAAGCTAAATGCCAAGCCAGAGTTACTGAGCTGAAGAGGCTAGACGCCGAGGACGCTGCCTCGACTCTTAGGGCTGAGATCGACTCTCAGAACCTCAACTTTCGCACTTTCTGTCGGGACTTGGAGCAGACCGTCTTTCCATGTTTGGACGAGGATCACGCTCTGATCCAAGAGTATGGAGCCGAGAGCATTTCTGACTTTAAAGCCCGCATCGAGCAGCGAGTGCGGAGAGAGGTAGAGACTCGGCACCTGATGGTTGAGGATTTCAAGGCAGACTGCTCGTGCTGAAACTGAGGCTAAGGAAAATCTGTCTGAGATGGAAGCCGAGAACCAGAAGCTAAGGGACGAGCTGAAAGCCCAGAAAGAGGATGCTGCCCATATGACCGAGGCCAGCCCAGCTGAAGTGGCTTTCCTCGTTCGCCAAGCTACAACCGAGGCTCAGGAAGAAGAAGAGGCTGCGAGGAAGGCATAAGATACTACTCATCCTTTTTCGTCTTCTGCTAGCACTGGGGCTTCCCAAGCCCCGAGTACCGATCCTGCTGATGCTGAAGCATAGAAACTCGGGCAGCTGTCTTCAGAATCCTGCGGTTCGACTTGTGCTTAATCGATAAATGCCGCATCTGCTTTTGCCTTTGTTTTTTGCTTTCAGCTTGCCTTGAATTTGTACAAACTCGTTGTTTTTTGTTTGCTTTGTACTCAGTTCGGCAGCTATGTTTTCCGCTTGTGGGCAGCTGCCGATTTTAGGATATCTTCTGCATTTAACATTTGAATCCCTTTTAATATATTTGAAGTTCTTCTCAGCTTTGCTTTTCCATTGCCTGCTCCTCTGATTCTTGCACTTTAGTTGTTTTCCTGAATTTCTTCAAAATTTGTCTAAGTGTAGACTTCGGCTTGGAGATGTTACTGGTTGAGAACTTCTTTATTTGCTGAGAGTGCACTATTTTTTCTTACATTCCTTTTATCTCGCTCTTTTTACTCAGATTTTTCAACTTGTGAAAATTTTTCTAAGTGCTAGGTTTCGGCAAGGAACTTGCTTAAGGAGTGCCTCTTGCCCCCCTTCGAAGTCTGAAGATGGGGTCTTAAGGTTTCCGAGACAATTGCTTTGAATTTTTCGGCACAACCGAGAACTCTGCCTTGGTAAAATTTTTTGCAGCAATCTAGATTTTGAAGTTTCTGCTCATTTTCCTTTTCTCTTCTACTTTGTTTTCAAAAGGTCTGATTTCTTGCTCGAGAGCCGTAGACTCTAAGAGCAATACTCTTGTGATCCTTTTAATTCATCCGAGGGAACGACTATTCGAAACGCGATGCCGGGGCAATGGTCTATCCGAAGTACAGTGCTTCACTTAAGCAATACTTTGGAAATGCAACCATCACCCGGAACTGATTCATCCGAAGTACAGGGCCTCACTAGGCAATACTTCGGGGCTTTATCAGTTCCTATTTTTTAGGCAGTGTTTTTGATGCGCTTATGGCCTCTTTGCCCGAAGGAACTGATTCGTCCGAAGTACAGGGCCTCATCAGGCAATACTTTAGGATTTTATCATTTATCCTCGTCTAAGCTGGCTTTGCGACTTGCCGAAGTACAATGCCTCATTAGGCATTACCCCGGACGGTGCCGGACAAAAACTTTGAAATTTGTAAAAACCATGGAAGACAGAAAAAAAAATAGCAACTTTGCTGAATTTGAACAAATGGTGGCTCAAAGGCCTTTCATTAATGTAAAACGTGTACTTACATAGATTATACTTCCCCCAAGGGGCTCTATACGTGATATCTTTTAAGTACATCGGCGTTCCAGTGGTTTTTCAGCTCAGTACCATCCAACTGCCGAAGTCGGTACGTGTTAGGCTGAAGCTCGTCATATATCTCATAGGGTCCCTCCCAAGTGGCTGAGAGTTTCCCATGAATGCGGCCTTTTTGCACCGCAGCAACATTCCGAAGACTAAGATCCCCAACTTTGAGAAGCCTTGCACAAACTCTTCGGTCGTAAAATTTGCTTATTCTCTGCTTGTATGCGGCCATTTTATCTCAAGCTGAATCTCTGACCTCGTCTAAGAAGTCAAGGGACTCTTTCAAGAGTTTCTCATTTTCCTCAACTGAGAAGAGATTCACTCGTAGACTTTCTGAGCCTATTTCCACTAGAAGGACAGCCTCAGACCCATACACCAGCTCAAAAGGTGAATGTCCCGTTGCTTCTTTTTTTGTCGTCCGAAGTGACCAAAGGGTTCCTGGAAGTTCCTCTATCCACTTGGACTTTTGATCTTCAACTCTCTTCTTGAGAGCATTAAGGATCTGTTTATTTGCAGCCTCGGCTTGACCGTTACTTTACGGATGACACACCACAGAATATGCCAGTTTAATGCCGAACTGATTTGTATAACGCTTCAGCGGCAGATTATCAAATTGCCTTCCATGATCAAAGACAAAAACTTTCGGAATCCCAAAGCGAGTGATAATGTTTTGCCAAGTGAATTTCCTGATTGTTTGCTCTGTAATGTTCGAAGCTGCTTCGGCCTCGATCCATTTGCTGAAATAGTTTATTCTGACTATCAGCCATCTTTTTTTATAAGGAGCATCAGGAAACGGCCCCTAAATATCCAACTCCCATTGGGCAAATGGAAAAGGATTCAGGATTGGCTAAAGATCTCGCGACGGCCAATGGATGACTGGTGCAAACTTTTGACATTTTTTGCACTTTTTCACTAATTCCTTGGCATCTATGATCATAGTGGGCTAATAATACCCAGCCCTTAATGCCTTGAGGGCTAGGGCACGTCCCCCGATGTGGTTTCCACAAATGCCGAGATGAATTTCTCGAAGAATGTAATCAGCATCTGTTGGACCCATGAACTTCAATAGTGGGGCTGAAAAGGACTTTTTCGGAAGCTCTTCTCTGAAGATGATGATCCTCGATCTGATTCTTTTAATCTTAGAGTCTAAGTTTCTGTCTTCAGGGACCTCTCCCCGAAGTTTGTAAGCTAAGATGGGATCTATCCAACTCGGCTCGTGTGCGATGCAAGAAACCTGAGGTTCTTGGTCCACAGTTTTTTCTCGGCGCACTTCCACGTATACAGAGCGGTTCAGCTCGGTTAGAGTTGAATTTGCAAGCTTGAAGATTGCGTCGGCTTGAGCATTCTGACCCCTTGGGATCAGTTCAACCTCAAAAGTTCTTCGCTTTGCAATGACTGATTTGATCTTGGCGAGGTAAGCTATCATCGAGGGCTCTTTTGCCTCATATTCACCTCGGATCTGATTTGCAACAAGCTGAGAGTCTGTTTTCAAACAAACATGCTCGGCTTCCATTGCTATGCATAATTCCAAGCCAGCGACTGCCGCTTCGTATTCGGCTCCTTTGTTTGAAGCTTTGAATAAGAATTTTAGTGTATATTCAAAGGATTTGCCTTCGGTAAAGGTTATGACTACCCCTGCCCCCGAACCATTCACGGTGGAGGATCCATCCGTGAAAATAGTCCATATTTTCTTTTCCTCGTCAAGTATTTCTTGATAAGAAAACTCGGCTAGGAAATCAGCTAAGCCCTGGGCCTTGATTGCTGCCCTCGGCTGGTAGCTGATACTGAACTCGGTGAGCTCGAAAGCCCACTTTGCTACTCTACCAGATTTTTCTACTTTGCCGAGGACTTTTTCTAGCGGCTGATCCGTTAAGACTTCTATTTGATGACAATCAAAATAGGGCCTCAACTTTCGAGCGGCTACCACTACCGCATAAGCAACTTTCTCGAGTAAGGGGTAGCGTGTCTCAGCATCTGTCAGAGTATGACTAACGAAGTAGATCGGCTGCTGAACCATTTCTTCCTCCCTTAACCACACCGCGCTTATGGTGGCCGGACTAACCGCCACGTATAAGTATAAGGTTTCTTCTTCAGCTGGCCCTTCCAGAGCTCGGAGTTGAGCCAGATGTTCGCGAAGTTGCTTGAAGGCTTCTCTCTGTTCATCTTCTCAGATGAGCTCCTTAGATTTCGGGAGTTTGAGCGCCTTGAAGAACGGTAACCCTTTTATCCGAGGCTTTAGAGATAAACCTAGACAGGGCAGCCATTCTGCCAGTGAGGCGTTGAACATCCCTCTTTGTTTTCGGCTTGGGAAGATCAAGAGTTGCTTGTACTTTGACAGTATTGGCATCAATCCCCCTTTTACTGACAACGAAGCCGAGGAACTTACCCGACCTCACGCCGAAGACACACTTCTTCGGATTCAATATCATTTGATGTTTGCGAAGGGTGGCGAAGGTTTCGGCCAGGTCCGCAACATGATCTTTTTCTTCCTTGCTTTTAACGATAGAATCGTCAACGTAGACTTCCATGTTTCAGCCTTTTTGCTTGGCGAATATCTGATCAACCAACCTTTGATATGTTGCCCCCGCATTTTTCAATCTGAAGGGCATCATTTTGTAACTGTACACCCCTGAACTTGTAACGAAGGCCGTTTTTGCCCGGTCGTCGGGGTGCATGAAGATCTGATGGTACCCAGAAAATGCGTCCATGAAACTAAGTAAGGCATGGCTACTTGTCTAGTTGACTAGCTGATTGATCCTCGACAAGGGGTAAAAATCCTTCGGACAAGCCCTGTTTAGGTCCGTGAAGTCAACGCACATTCTCCAGGTTCCATTTGCTTTCTGAACCATCACCACATTAGCCAACCATTCCGGATATTGACAAGGTTCAATGAACCCTGCATCCAGAAGCTTTTTGCCTTCAGCCATGATGTCTTGGTTCTTTTGAGCGGAGTAATTCCGCTTCTTCTACTTAATGGGTCGACATGCGGGGTCGACATTAAGCTTATGGGAGATGAGGCTCGGGTCGATCCCGATCATGTCTGCCGCCGAGAAAGCGAACACATCCTTGTTGTCTCGAAGAAGTTGGATTAATTCAACACGAAAGCTCGGATTCGGACCCAGTCTGATGCTGACACATTTCTCGTTATCTCCTTCGCTCAATGGTATTGATTTTGTCTGATTATCCAGTTCCATTGCTTTGGCCCTAGATTCTTCGGATTCAGGCCTGCTGTCAATATCAGCAAGCTTCCCAGACTTCTGCTGACCTCTTGAGTCTTTCGGCTGAGACGAAGAACTAGCCTTTTCTTTCCCCTAGGATGTCCTCTTTGCTAGGGATCCTTGAGCCGAGGCACTTAAGCCCTTAGGCCTTTTCGTACCTCGGTCCTTTTCTTTTTCCTCCTCATCATCCTTGTCACCGCGGCGACTTTTGGACGGTTTGAGGTGATTACACCTTCGGGCCTCCTTTTGGCGGCCCAAGATTTTTTTGGAGCGTCCCTTGTTCGAAACGTAGATCATTGTTCGATGGTACGTCGAGACAACTCCTTGAACGTCGTGAATGAGGGGTTTCCCCATGATCACGTTGTACAGAGACGAAATATTGACGACCAAGAACTCGTCCATAATGTTCCGTTGTGCTAGGCTTCGGCCTAGGGAGACAGGAAGAAGAAACTTCCCATCTGGGTATGATGAAGAGCCATTAAATCCAGTTACCGGGAAGGGCACTGGAGTTAGGTGCTTGCTCTCCAACTTCAGCTGGTTAAATGCCCTTCGAAAGAGGATATTCGCCCCGCTGCCACCGTCCACGAGGGTTCGATAGACGTTGTGGTTTGTAATGCCCGTCATGATCACTAACGGGTCATCATGGGGATACACCACCCCCCTGCAGTCTTCGGCTGTGAACAACATGTTTGGCATCGGAGACTGAGGTGCTCGAAACTCAGCATTATGTATTTGATGGGTCAAGCCCCTCAAGTGGCGTTTCAGCGCATTCCGAGAGACCCAACCGGAAATGGTGAGAATGTCAAGGTTTTCCTTGTCATTTTGCTTGTCTTTTTTCCGCAGAAAGTCCAGATCCTGCCGGGAATCTCTCTCGGCTTTCTTCTCTTCGCGACAGTCTGCGACGTACTTTTTCAAATAGCCTTTTTGGACCAAATCCTCGATCTGGTCTTTCAGCTGGAGGCAGTCCTCGGTGCAATGTCTAGTAGATTCATGGAACTCGCACCATTGGTCCTTCCTCTTTTTCTGATGCCATGATGGAAGTGGCCTTGGCTTCTTGAATCTCACCTCGTCTTTGGTCGTGCTGAAATTTTTAGCACGCGGAAGAGCAAGAGGAGTATAAGACTCAAACCTCCCTGTATAGGGGGTCCTATCTTTCTTCGGCTCGGGTGCCGAGGAAGGTTCTGAGGCTTTCGCCTTCCCTTTCCTAAACCCTTGGCCTTCGGGCGCTTGGCCCTTCACTTTCACAACCCCTGCTTGGGACTGAGATTTTGCTTTATTCTATTCTTCGCTCGAATAAACTTATCCGAGGCATCCAAAGCTTCCTCCAAGGTTTGCGGGGGATGCATGACCATGAAGTCTAAGAACTTTCTAGCTTGCAGGCCGTTCCGTAGCGCAAATATGGCAAGGCCTTGGTCCAGACTTGTGATTCTGGACGACTCGTTGCTGAAGCGAGTCAAGTAATCTCGGAGGCTTTCTCCCTCCGTCTGCTGCAGACTCATCAACTCTGCAGTCGTTTTCTCTCGGCGGTTCGCCGTAGAAAACTTGCTCTTGAATTTGTTGGCAAGGTCATTCCAACCTGTTACAGAGCCTTCTTTCACCCCCTTGGTGATCCACAATTGTGCCACACCTTTGAGGGTGGTTGGAAAATATTTACACCAGGTAGCCTCGGACCTGGGGTTAAGATACATGTGCCCCTCGTAAGAGGCGTAATGTGTGCTGGTATTTTTACCGTTGGCACATGCTCTTCCAATATCCAACTTTGGAAGGGCGAGCTTGTAGGAACCATTATGGCTTTCCCCTTTTGCTTAGCCGGAGGGACCTTGCTTCTCCCTCTTAGAAAGGTGGAAGTGGTTTTCGTCCCTGGCTGAGATGATTCGGGGTAAGTCGTGGTTCCCTTTTGGGTAAGTGAGACGGCTACGTACGTCTACTTCCCTTGGGCTTAGGCGTTCATGGACGCTTTGGCGAGCAGGTTCTTGCCACACAGAGGTGGTATTGCTGCTCTGGAAGCTCATGGAGTCCCGGGTCTCGAAATGGTGGAAGAACTGGGGATTCTTTTTCCTTTCTCGCTCGGTCCTCCAAGTGTCTTCCTGCCATTTCTCCCCGAGCTCCTTGTAGGATGGAACTTGTCCATCCTCCTCTCGACCGATTCTCCTTCTCAGGTATCTCGGCTGAAGAGGTGAAGACTCGCGGCGCGTTAATGGGAGTTGTCCTCCTTGGGCTTTGAGGAACTCCATGCAGACCGCTACGGCCCTTGCCACTTCCTCCGTAGAGGGCCCCGATGGGGGGTCTCTTTTGGCCGGGATCGAGAGTGTAGACTCTGCGCGGAGGGCTCTTTGCATTAGACCCACTCAGCCTAGACGAGCTTGCCGGATGGCGAGTGTGGTGAGACGGAGAACCCTCCGAAGCGTCCCCTTCCGGAGAATAGGGAGCTTTTAAGAATGAAGAAGCTGGTTCCGGTGAAGGGGAAATCTACCGATGTTCCCTCAATGTGATCAGGTCTTCGTCCCTCCTCGAAGAGATGGGAACATTTTTTTTCTGAGCACCCTTGGTGCTCTTTCCACTCTTAGTCATGCTTATTCCTAAGATTGGTAGATTTTTGGCTTAAATTTTTGTGTATTTTCCCCACAGACGCGGCCAAATTGTTTCGGATGAAAACAATGGGACCTTCGATAGGCCTTTTTTGATGCGGGAAGATGAATCTCGATCCAAGTGATGACTGGGCCGAGGGTATCCTGCACAGCAAACACACGTATACTGGCTCCGGGGGTTATGCCAAGGGAGGCCCCTCCGATGCCGAAGTCAATGTAGGGAGAAAGAGCTATGCAAGAGAATTTAATGCTTAAGGCTGATTGTGAATGAATGTAAAACGATGTGAGTAATGGCTTTTATACCTTTGCTCAATTAGAGGACTCGGGCCCTTGAACTCAAGTGGGCTTGCCACGTTGACCGGACCATTGACTGACTTAGCACTTGGGCTGGAAGGTTGAACCTTGCTTTTGGGCTTTGAATTATGTCATTTGCGAAATAAGCCCAATAGAGGAGAAATTGGACCCATACATCTAATAACTAACTATATGGATCTAGGACCTTAGCAAAAATACCTATGCTTAATATGCCATAGATATGCCATAGATATGTCCAATTTAACAAGCTAGGAACTATATATGACCAAAATGGTCCAAAATGAATTATATGACTCTTACTTTGCCCAATTTTCATGTTTTCAAGTAAATGAATAAAAGAACACCCATCTTGTCTCTAAATTACTTAGTTATGAGTATCTAGGACCTATAATACCATTAATTTACCGAGTTACTTAATTTTGGGACTATACATGACCATAATGGTCCCAAAATGAGCAAAACGACTTCCCATTGTCATGATTTAAGTAAATGAGTAAAATAACACTTATATCATGTTTGAAGTACTTAGTTTTGAGTGTTTATGTCTTTAAATACCATTAATATGCCAATTTACTAACTTTTGAGACTATATAAGACCAAATGTTCTAAAAAGGGTAAAATGACTTGTAATTTGCTTGAATACCATGTTTTAATGTAAATGAGTAAAATAACACTCATATCATGTCTAAAGTACGTAGTTACATGTGTTTCTATGACTTGCAAGGCCAAATTAATAATTTGTGTCTAAAGTATGTAGTAAATGAGTAAAATAAGACTAATTAGTTTAAACTTTTTGCATTTTTGTTTCCCAATTCTGTTTGGGAATTTAACTAAGAAGGCTTTAAATTGGGAATCATTGATCTTAGTTGACTAATCTGATTAGTTTAGATATTTCA